GCAGAGACACAGAGAGAGACAGAGAGACAGAAACACACAGAGACACAGAGACAAACACAAAGAGAGAGACAGACACACAGAGAGAGACACAGAGACAGAGAGACACAGAAAGAGAGAGACACACAGAGACAGAGACAAAGAGACACAGAGAGAGACAGACACAGAGAAAGAGAGAGAGAGAGAGACAGACACAGAAAGAAATAGAGACGTACAGAGAAACAGAGAGAGACATACAGAGAGAGACACAGAGACAGAGAGAGCGACAGAGAGAGAGAAAGAGACAGAGAGAGAGAAAGAGACAGAGAGAGAGAAAGACAGGCAGAGAGAGAGACAGACACAGAGAGAAGCAGAGAGAGATATACAGAGAAACAGAGAGAGACACACAGAGAGAGACACAGAGACAGAGAGAGTGACAGAGAGAGAAGAAGGGAAAGAGAAAGAGACAGACAGAGAGAGGCAGAGAGAGGGACACACAGAGAGAGAGAAAGAGACAGAGAGAGAGAAAGAGACAGACAGAGAAAGAGAGGCAGAGAGAGGGACACACAGAGAGAGAGACAGAGGCAGAGAGACAGAGACACACATAGAGGGAGATGAGTTCAAAGTCATCAGTTGGCTTTCATGCCTAAGGCAGGACTACTACTCACTGCATCCTGGTGATTGGCCCAAAGTTATCCATTCAGCTTCTAAAGTGGGACTACAACTCATCATCTCCCGGTGATTGGCCCAAAGTCACCCAGCCGGCTTTCATGTCTAACACGGGACCAGAAATCACCGTCTCCTGCTTTCTAGCCCGGTGTCTTTAACCACTAGACCAAACTGGCTCTCATGCTCAAGTGTGTACGTTTTTCAAAGCATGCGCAGCCCTCCCTACCAAAGATACTCCTACTTTTACTCCTGCCGTACGCTACATGTATCAGACCTAAGAGCCTCCTGAGACCCTTTGCAAACTTACCTGTTACTGATCTGGACTTCATTCTCTCGCATGGCGTAAAGTAGGGTGGCCGCACAATACAACAGCTCCAGGGTGTCCGTCCGCGACATGGGGGCGCTGGGTCTTCGGAGACAGTTCACCAGCTCCTGAACATCGCAAACACCTCCAGCCAAGAGTACAATGGCCGCCATCACTGCCCGAACATAGGTTGGCTGGAAGAACAGGGGGTGAATTATTGCAGGGGTGAGGGAAAACTTGTTCTCTCTCACACAGGTTGTGTTACCTGTCCTGCCTGACACCTACAGGACGGCAGGATGAAGTAGGGCCCCGACTTACAACTATTCAAGGAATGTGGGGTCCTTTATGTTCTCTGAGCTCGAATTGTTTTCTTTTTCTAAAAACAAGTTTTATTCAATTTTTCCAAAACAACATAAAAGAGAGCTCTTTTCAGTGTACGACATAATTCCGAGTCGCCACTTTTACATGCGAATATGACAGTAATTATATATTCATTTTTACATTCAACATCCTATCCTGTCCATTTTTAACTTGATTCTATTATTACTTCTCCATTTCAACTTTTACATAAGAAAAGGAACACATTAATTCTGTTAAGTGATATTACTCTCAATGTAAACATCTTCTCAGTTCATTTCAATTTTATTTCAAACGTATTTCTTAAGCGTTAACATTTCTTTTAAGCGTGGCCTTTTCCAAAGTACTCTTTTCTCATTTTACCTCTCAACTTTTACGTAAGAAAAGGAACAAACAAATTAATCCTATTCATTAATGTTACTTTCATTCTAAACATCTTCTCAGTTCATTTCAATTTATTTCAAATGTATTTCTTAAGCAATAACATTTCTTTTAAGCGTAGCCTTTTCCAAAGTACTCTTTTCTCATTTAAATCATTAATAGTTTCCATATCTTCATATTTATTCCCTTTTAATTCTTTTATCTTGTCAAATTTGCAATTCCATCGCATATTCTCTTCATAAAGTCTAAATTAATACAAGCTTTTTCACATAAAACATAAATTTCCCCACCCCTTTTACTAGTTTGGGGGTGTCACCTCAGTGGTTTAAATATGCCTTAATTCCCTCATCTGTAATTCCCAGTTAAACATCTCTTTTACTTAGTTATAGTAATAATCATTCCCTAGAAAAATAAACTACTTTTCAGTCAGATTCCCCAATGTATTTTCTCCCTTTACTTCCATAAAATTTTATTCATGATATCCAAAAAAAAAAAGAAGAGAAAGAAACAATTAATCCATTTTGCTATTCATGGTCACTGATATTAATCTCATTTTTAAACCTTCTCACGATTCATTTAAATCATTTCAATATATATAATAAAGATTAACCTCTATTGTAACAATAAAAATAAGAGCATACATTCATCTTCTAAAAAGATATCAGTGCTCCTCCCTCCTCTCAACAGACTATATTCTATAATTTATAATTGCAAAGTGCATTATTATTACCGCTCATATCAATGCAGAATCCCCTTTGAGCTTGACTGTTTTCTTGCAGACGTTTTATTAACCAACTAGGTAACATCATCAGTGCTAGAAGGGAAGTAGGGTTTTCAGAAAGGAGGAGGAGGAGGAGGAAAAGAGATGGAAGAGAAGTGAGATGGAGGAGGAAGAGATGGAGAAGGATGAAGAGAGATGGAGAGGAGGAGGAGGAAGAGAGACGGAGGAGGAGGAAGAGATGGAGGAAGAGAAATGGAGAAGGAGGAAGAGATGAAGGAAGAAAAAATAGAGAAGGAGGAAGAGAGATGGAAAAGGAGGAAGAGATGAAGGAAGAGAGATAGAGAAGGAGGAAGAGATGGAGGAAGAGAAATGGAGAAGGAGGAAGAGATGGAGGAAGAGAGATGGAGGAGAGGAGGAGGAGGAAGAGATGGAGGGAGAGAGATAGAGAAGGAGGAAGAGATGGAGGAAGAGAAATGGAGAAGGGAGGAAGAGACGGAGGAGATGGTCTTCAAACTTGGCAACTTTAAGACTTGTGGACTACAACTCCCAGAATTCCTGAGCTAACATGACTGGAGAAAGAATTCTGGGAGTTGAAGTCCACAAATCTTAAAAGCTGTCAAGTTTGAAGGCCCCTGCACTAAATGGTCACTAAACGAATGCTTTTAAGTCGAAGGGCCGTCTCTCTCGGAATCCATTACCTTTTGAGTGACATCCCCAATTTTTGAACAAGAAAACCCACATCCAAGGGAAACAGAACGGAAACATCCCAAAACCTCAATTCCAGGGAGCGTTTACGCCTCCTGTGATGACCCAAAGGGGCGTGTCACAAAGGCAACACAGTCACATAAGTAAGAAAAGTCCCTTTAATACCTCCAACTTTGCCCCCAATGTCCAGGTTACCTTTGGCTGGAGAAAAAAAACTCTCCCAGGTACAGCCTTTAAGTGGAGGAAATTCAGTCCGAAAACAAAGTACATACAAACTGTAAATAAAAATCCACACAAATCATGCTGCAGCAATTGACTGGACGGGGCAGGAGAAGGAATTGCAGACTTGAAAGTCCAGCAAAACACACACAGTTGGGAAGACGCCAGGAACACAGATAAGCCACGAGATACAAGCTAAAGTCACATTTGCTCCCAACAACTTGCTGTATGCAGCTTCCCTTTTTAAACACTGTGTTCCCAGCTGCGGCTAATGAAGGGAATCAGGGCCCTTTCCTTCCCTGTAAGCCATGCAGCTCACGTTGCTCCCTTCTCCATTCCTCCCTGCGTGCCCTAGGATGAAGAGGGGGTGGGCCTGGGTCTTCCTCTGAACTCCCTCTCCCTTGTTCTGCCCAGCCAGACATTATCCTTCACCAGTTTCCTCCACAGCCAACGGAGCCACACTCCCATTCCCTGTTGGCTGCTCGGCCTCTCCCTCCAAATCAGATTCCGACAGGGGCATGACAGACCGTCTCTCTCGGAATCCATTACCTTTTGAGTGACATTCCCCAAGTTTTCCCATAAGACAACCCAGATCCAAGGGAAAAACGCAATGGAATTATCCCAAAACCTCAATTCCAGGGAGCGTTTAAGCCAGCCAAGACCTACCTGCTCTTTGAGACCGTCGAAATCCGGAAAATTCTTGGCAATGCAGACTTCTGCCTTGGGAAAGAGCGAGTGGCGTTTCAGGCACGCGAGGACGGCGGTGGGATCTCGGCAGTGGCAGCTCCGAACAGCAGACGCACACCTGGATTGGGACAAGAAACATGGACGGGTGATCCCAAAGGTGCTGGGCTTTTTGATTTTTCTATGAAGATGTTTCGCTTCTCGTCCAAGAAGCTTCAATAAACGAAGCAACAATAAACCAAGCAACGTTGTCATTCTGTACGTTGCAGACGTATCGGAGAAGCTCAGGAGGGTCTTTAGCCGACATAACATATGTGCACATTTCAAACCCGTGAATATGCTAAGGCAGAAGCTGGTCCACCCCAAAGATAAAACACCCAGGCAAGAAACCAAGTAACATGATCTATGCAGTGCAATATACTGCAACCCAACAAGACAGACACAGACTCCAGAGGGTAATTAGGACTGCAGGAAAAAAAACTATTACCACCAGCCTGCCTTCCATGGAGGACCTGCATCCTGCACGAGTCAAGAAGAGGGCTGTGAAAATATCTACAGACCCCTCACATCCTGGACATAAACTGTTTCAACTCCTACCCTCAAAACGACGCTATAAAGCACTGCACACCAGAACAACTAGACACAAGGGGAGTTTTTCCCCGAATGCCATCCCTCTGCTAAACAAATAATTCCCTCAACACAGTCCAACTATTTACAAAGTCTGCACTACTATGACTATTCATCTTCTCATCACTCCTGATCACCCATCCCCTCCCACTTGTGACTGTAGGACTGTAACTCTGTTGCTTGTATCCTTACTATTTATATCGACTGTTTCCTAGTATGATTTGATTGCTTATTGTACCCTATGAATATTATTAGGTGTTGGGCCTGATGATTCTTGACTCTTGATGAATCGGTCTTTTCTTTTATGTACACTGAAAGCATTTGCACCAAGACAAATTCCTTGTGTGTCCAATCACACTTGGACAATAAAGAATTCTATTCTATTCTATTCTATTCTATTCTATTCTATTCTATTCTGTTCTGTTCTGTTCTGTTCTGTTCTGTTCTGTTCTGTTCTATTCTTATTGTACCCTATGACTATTATTAAGTGTTGGACCTGATGATTCTTGACTCTTGATGAATCAATCTTTTCTTTTATGTACACTGAGAGCATTTGCACAAAGACAAATTCCTTGTGTGCCCAATCACACTTGGCCAATAAAGAATTCTATTCTATTCTATTCTATTCTATTCTATTCTATTCTATTCTATTCTATTCTATTCTAACTTTACTCTACTCTACTCTACTCTATTTTCTATTCCATTCCATTCCATTCTATTCTATGCAGCGACCCATGGGCAGACCTGTACATCGGGGAAACAAAACCGCCACTTCATAAACGCATGGCACTGTCAACTCATAAAACAGTTCTATGGTCTTTTTAGAGTTGCCAACAGAAAGGGATGGGGGGGGGAAATGGGGTTTGAAAGAGGAGTGCAGCAGCTTGGAAATCGAAAGTGCATTCCATGCATAGTTTTTCAGAGATAGTAACTTAGGTGACTGCAGTTTCTGCCGCGCAAAATTCTAACTGGAGAGCCTGATTGATGACTCTGGGCTATGGAGGTGACCCATTGGAGGATATGAATTACGATACACCCAGAGGGGTGGAGGGAAAACCAGGGTCAAGGAAGACAATGAATGACGTATCTCAGAAATCGGCTACACCCAGACAGTGCCGGACATGTTAACTCTCAATAAATCATTTTTCAAGTTTTGGAAGTCCGGCTCGAGACTCTTGATTTAATTGGAGGTAACTGCCAGAATCCAGACAGGCAAAACATTGGAGAACAAACCCACGGGGACAAGATTCAGCCGCCCATCTGCATTCAAAAGACAAAAGCCACCTTTTTGAAGACAGCGAAGTCCACATTTTGGACGGAGAGAGGACCTCTGGTTTGAAAGAGGGGGGGTCCAAGAGGCCATCTGTGTCAAACCTGAACACCCCTCCCTCAACAGAAGGGGAGGGACATGACACCATCTATCTCCAGCCTACAGCACGGCCCTTTCAGCAGTTCCAAGGAGGCTCCACACCCATTTGCACTATTCAAATCCTCCTGAGGATAAACCTCCAAGTGGTCTCCGGGTCTCTCTAAAAAGGCTGCAAATGACCAGCTGTCTGCAAGGAGTATAAATACTTCCTTCCTCCACCATTTAGTCAGAGCTGAAGAAGCTTCTTGGATGAGAAGCGAAACGTCTTCAGAGGAAAAACCAGAAAGTCCAGTTGCCTCTTGAAAAAGCACCTTTGGGACAACCAGCACCTGGAGGACTGAGAATCTCCACAGACATGGACAGGTGATGGCCTTATACAGGTAATCCTCAACTTACAACACTTCCATTTAGTGACCATCCAAAGTTACAACAACGCTGAAGAAAAGGGACTTGTGACCGTTGTTTCACAGTTATGACCTCTGCAGTATCCCCGTGGTTGTGCGATCAAAACGCAGAGGCTGGGCAACTGACTCATACTTACGACAGTTGTTGTGTGACCCTTGTTTTGTGACCTTCTGATAAGGAAAGTCCACGGGGGAAGCCAGATTCGCTTAGCAACAGGGTTGCTAACTTATCAACTGCAGTGATTCGCTTTAACAACTGTGGCAAAATGGTCGTGATGTTTGCAGCATCCCTGGGGTGTGATGTCTCCCTTGGACGAATCCCCGGATTCTTCCTCGGAGGCCGGCTCAAAGGAGGGATGAGCACCTTCGTCGCACATCAGGAACTGGGTTAATTAATGACTCTGATCAGCCGGGCAAAAGAGATTTACCGGAGGCTTCGGCTGGGGACAGCTTGCAGGGACAGACAGTCAGTGAAGAAGAGGAGCTTGTCTTCTGTGGTTGATCCGAGAGCACTCAGGGCAGAGAAAAGACAAGAGCAATGGAGATCTGCCAGACTGCTTGAGAGAAGGCTCTGCCTGTCTTGATGGGCTGCACCCATCAAAGCTATTTATTGCAGCGGGTGGAATCGGGCATCACTGGGAACAAGGTGTTTGGTTTATGGCTGTGCGTGATTGTTCCTTGTGCTTCATTTGAATTTCTCTTCCCACGCGAGCTCACCTGGGCGTATTTCCATCTGGCCAGGTGGGTTTAGGTTTGTTGGGTGGGCTTATTGGTGGTAGCGACTTTCCATTGTTTTGTGGACGATTGGCCACTGCTTTGTGGACTAACTGTGGCCTGCTTGTGGCTGGATTTATTTGGGAAAGTTCTGAGGCTGTGTGAAGGGGATTGCTGGGGAACAATAATAAACTCTGAAACATACTTCTCCCTGCGTATATATGCGTGTGTGAGAGAGTCATGCCCCTTGTGGAGACTGACTCTGAGGAAGAGGAGGAACCGCCAACAGGGAGTGGGAGTGCGGCTCCAGAGGTTGTGGAGGAGGCTGGGGAAGGGCAGAGGCCGGCTGGGCAGTAAGAGGAGGACCCAGGCCCATCCCCTCTTCATCCTAGGGCACGCAGGGAGGAGAGGATCAGGGTAAAGGGTGGTCTACTTGGGAGGAGAGGGCCATGAGCCTCTTCATGGGTTGCGGGTGTGAAATCTGCATAAGAGTTTGGACCTGCGTGCTAACAAACGCTGGAGACAAATTAGTGTTTTATTCCTAGATGAGGTTTATCTTGGTTGGCGTTCTTCCAACGGACTATACCTAGTTATTTTCCTGAAGTTTGTAATTATTTATCCTGGTCTGTCGTGGAACTTTATTCAGTGCGGTTGGTTTTCGGCTTTTGCTTCGTTATCTACTCTCTGAATTTGAACCGTGTTTCTTTCATTTTGGAATGTTGTTGTGAAAAGAGTTTAATCTTCAACGGTGAACAATTAAACAGTGAAGCCAAGTTGAAGCCACTAAAGGACCTTTATTTATGTTTTGGTTTTTGTTCTATTTTTGATACACTCCGGGTCGAGAGGGAGGGAGGGAG